GAAAGAGATACTTGATATGAAAGCCATAATGACAGTGACTTGTTTCATAGGGAAAAACAGTCAGTTTCTCCCTCAACTCTCAACACTAAAGGGAAAAAAAAAAATGGAATCAAAACTAGGACTGCAGGGCCCAGCAGTGTTCATACAGCAAGCAGCACGTTAGACAGCCACACAGTGTGTTGTTAGTTTCTAAAGACATTCACTCAAGGAAAACACCATCTCAACTTGGCCCTCTAACCGCTTGTCCCCCTCCCCCACCCAGGTTCTCATGCTGTTTTCTCTCTCAGGGTCCTCTTTGGTGGGCAGCCACTCTCCCCAAGAAGCTGTCATCCGTTATCTGCAGTCCAGAGGGGGTCTGCATAGGTACAGGTCCTCCTGCCTCTTTATGTGGGTTTCAGCACTAATCCTGTCGTCCACACTAGGGGACTCCAACGCAAGAATGACTTCAGGGTGTGCAGCCTGAGCGTCAGGGCTCTGCAGCATGCTGCACGCTTGCTAGAGGTGAAGGCCTGCTCAGGAGGAGAATAGTTCCAAGGGAGAATCATGGTTCTGAAGTCTAGTGTTGACACTGGAATGACAGCACGCAATAATCTATGACTCCCGGCACCTTCTGAAATAAGGAATTTCCCCTCTTTAATACTGCAGCCCTCTTTGTCATTGACCTTTGCTATACCGTGGCAATTCACAAATTGAGGAAACGATTAAAAGCATTCCTTATTTTTTAACTAATATTTGCACATTTTCTTAGTCTCTTTCCAAATCTTTGCCTCTATTTTGTTTTTCTTTGACAGATGGTATTCCTTCCTGGATCATTCGTTTCATTTGGTCTCTAACTTTACCTTCGCTTGTTATTGGACTTAGCAGGTGCAACAAAACAATGTGCCCACCCCACTTTTCCTCTTAACTGAAAAGCTTAAAATAAATTTCTGAATTATGTATCATAAAGCTTTGACATTTCTTTATTGGTAAAATACTAAATTCTAGCATTGAAGCTTTCCAGCAAAAGAAGTCTTCTCAAAATAAATCTTTTGCAGCAAAGTGGTATTTATTGAGTTATATGTGAAAAAGATTGCTTGTATTTTTGAGGTTATTACAACATGCTGTGCAGAATTGGACAGATGTTCCGTGGTGTTTGGTTTCCCTTTCTTCTCTCTCCTGCTTGCTCTGCACTACAGTGGCAGCTCATTTCTCTCCGGCTGAAAAGCCTGGCTCTCAGCAGTGACATCCTCCCACACCTGGTTACAGGTAGTGGTTGTGCTATACGCAGCATCCTGCTTAACAGTGTTCCCCCCCACCCCAGGCTGTTGCACTCAGAGTTACCTTTTTAAAAGTTTCTATAAAGAGGCACAATAAATACATACAGATTATACTTCAGTGGTTCTTACACAGCTTTTTGCCTGCACTGGACAGCTCAGTAACATCCACTGCCGGTTGCACATGATTTCTGTGCCATTTGCATAAGCCTTACCAATGACATCCACTCAGCCACTCCATTTCTTCCCAAATCCTCCACCTTCTCAGCTATAAACATACTGGCCAGATAGCTTGCAAAGATAACTTTCCCCAGTCATCATACTTCGTTCTCCTTCCCAGAGTCTTGGGGCAATCCATTTATTCAGAGACCTATAAATTCCTCTTTCTGTCCCCATCTGAAACATCTTCCATTGCTGCATCACATGTGACAGCACTGATACCTTGGGGAATCTTGAACAGCTAAGTTTCTCAGTCCTCTTTGGCTGCACCCCTTCTGTGCAGACCGCCTCTCATTTGCCAGGCCTGCTCATTCCTCCCTGACGGCTGTGCGCCATCGTTCCCTCATCTCGGCATCCGGAGCACGCTTTCCCCACTGCCCTCCCCGCATCATCATGCTGGGCCAAGAAGTTGTCCCTTGGTGTATGCCCTGCTCCTCCCTCTCAGAAGCCGGACTTCATTCTTAGTCTCCCGTCACACCCACTGTGGCTGGTTATAGCACTTCCACTGCTCGTGTCAGATAGGAAGTGATCGAAGCAGGGGGCAAAGAGAGCCTGTCTTCTAAGCAGAAAAGCAGAAAAAGAAAAGACAGACACCCTGTTGACCCGAGAGAAGTAAACTCCAGAAGGAAACCAAGAACTCCTCCCTTCCCTGGTGAGTATTTCCATTATTCCGTTAAGGTTTAATACGCATTCAAATTACTTTTACTAAATAGTACACCATAAAGCTTTTGTTATATATTAAATGTAAACTGAAAGGAATGTAAACATGTATTGTTAATTATAAATATAGATAAGTAATGACATAATAGATGAAAAGGTCTTATCCAGATGTATCACATTCATTTTACATTACCCACCTATTGTCGCATGGTAGAATAGCTTTTTGTCTCTGAATATGTGAATAACTTGACTTGCGGTTATCTTTTTACATATTTAATAAAAAAAAAGTATATGTTAAAATTGGCTTGGATCTATAGATTCTTAAATTTTTATGCTAAAGGTTTCCTTTTGAGTGAGCAAATATAGATGAGTAGGCTACTCATGCAGATTCACACACCTACCCATATTTTGATTTACACTTGGGGGGGGCAGTTTTAGTGGGGTTTTTCTTAATGGCAAATGTTTTAATAGGACTTACAGATTAGTATTTGATATCAAATGTAGCAGCTGTGATACCTTTTTTAAAAAATTTACCAAAAATAAAGATAAACCATTCCCTTTGGAAACATTCTACTTGCAAGCAAAGCAAAGCCAAGCTCCCGCGGGTCCAGCCTGTCCATCTGCATGAGACAGGACTGGGGAAATAGGAAACTGTGGGAGAAGCAGACAAATGTTTTGAAGTAAAGCTTTGTGGCAAAACGACCTATGATTAGCAAAAGCTCTTCGATTAAGTGTGTTTCTCTCCTCTGGTTTATTGACTTTAAATAATTTAGGAAGGATGTACAGACATGAACGGAATACAGAATTTAAACAAAAGTTCCCGTAAATGTATTCAGAATTTTAATCTGATCCAAGTTCACAGCTTACTATGAGGACACTTTTCCAGTCTGATAGATTACATGGATAAAATGAGATCTCTTACCAATGGAACATTATTTTTTAGTAGCTTGAAAGTTTTTTCAAGGCAGAGGAATAGGTGAAAAAAAGAAATGCTTTAGAACTGGCACAGTGGGCCACCTATAGAGACTGTAGAACCAGTGACAACAGTCTGTTGAAGACTCCCCAGGGGCCTGCAGGTTACAGAGATTCAGCCAATACCCCTTTCACCCCAAAAGATGTCGGCCTTCCCTAAACTGCTTTCAGGCTCCACCTAGAGGCCAGTGTTGTTTCTGTACTATCCTTTGGCACCTTTTCTCCATTCACTTGCCTTAGGCCCTCTTCTTTCCAGAGAAGTGGGGAAATAACAAGACAAAGATATTACCACTCTTCTCCACCTACCCTCATCTCTCCACAGGGTGCGCTTGTGACAGATTCTGTGAGCCATTACCTGCCTGTGAAATCTCATGCCCAAAGCACACGTTTGCATTTAATTCACCAAGCCTGGGGTTTTGAACACTGGATCTTCCACTTAGAAATTTGTGTGTGCTCAAGAATACATACGATTCATTTCACTTAAAAGGCTCATTGGCAGACTAGGTAAACACATTGGTAATGGTTCAAAAGTGGTGAAATACCATGTTTGCTTCATTTTATTAAATCTGAGATCATCTCTAAAAATTTAATGTGTTCCTACTGGTATTATGCATAGGCCCATAACTTGGGAATGGGAGGAGGATGTAATTCCACTAAATTTGGATTATAAAATGACACTTCTCTAAAACTGAAACACGACTTCATTTCTGACCTTTCTTATTCTTTTTCTTAACTGCTAGAACACAGCTACTGTGATCGTTACGGCCGCTATCACTAGGTAAACATTCACTGACTCAGCTTCTCAGCACTAACACGGTATTGCCAAACAGTGAAAGTGTG